CTAAACAAATAAACTTACAAGAGTACATTGGATATACTGTTCACAGTAAACGAACATATATTATTTTAAGTTGAGACAAATGCAGTTTTGAGAAGTATAAGCAAAGGACATCTTGTAATTCGCTTTAAATATGCACTCAATCACCATGAGAAAATAATTGTAGCTAGCAATCGGAAATATATTTTTAAAAAAGCTGACTTAGCAGGAATGAACATTTTTTGCAATTAATGTTCAGGAGATGTACGACACGCTCATTTTTTACGTTAACAAAGCTTGTCAAAAATATATACTGTGTCACAGCTCGAAAAACAGGACTTATGAAAGAATATTTTGGGTTGACAATGAACTAAAAGAACTTGGGAAGAACAAAAGACGAATGAGGCATTTAATTTGTTGCACAAATTGGAAAAACAAAAATATGGTAAACGAATACAAAGCATTTTGTAGAACCTTAAAAACTGAAGCAAGAAAAGCCAGAAAAGAATATGAACGCGAACTGGTCTAGAAATCAATTAGGAACAAGAAGATACTCTTTAAATATGTGAACGGTCAACAAATCGTTAAGAACTCAATTAAAGCGATAAAAAACGTTGAAGGAAATGTTACAAATACGACCAGTGAGATTGTTGACATCTTAAACAAGAATTTTTAAAACTTTTTCACTATAGAGGGCGACCAAGTATTACCAGAATTTGGATCGAGATGTGGGGGAAAATATCTAGATTTTGACGAGCGTGCAATTAATTACAGTGACGTTGTAACAAGATTGAGAAAAATATTAAATGAGAAATTATGTGGAGTTGACCAATTAAGTATTATCATATTAAAAAATTGCGCCGAAAGACTTACATTGCCAATCAGATTGATATTTATGTCATTGATTAAAAAGAGCATACTGCCTATGAAATGGAAATTAGCGAACATTACCCCAATCTTTAAGAACAAAGGCAGTAAGCTAGAAGCAATAATTATCGACCATTTTCACTGACTTCTGTTTCGTGTAAAATTCTAGAGAGCATAATATATTTTGATAAAAAAATTTTTTATCAAAATGTCAACATGGATTTGTTAAAACTAGATCATGCACGACAAATTGATGGAAACTGTGGATTATTTAAGAGAAAACATTGCACTGAATCGTCCGGTAGATGTGGGTTATTTAGACTTTGCGAAAGCTTTCGACACATTGCCGCACAAAAGACTCGTTATAAAAATAAAAGCGTATGGAACAGCTGCTAAAAAGGTTAGAGGAATTTTTTAAAGAAAGAAAGCAGGACAAACCACTCTCCAAAAAGGTTTAGGTGTATTATTCTTGGAAAACATGAAATGGAGAGAGCAAATTATATCTTGCAGCATGAAGGCAAATAAAATGCTGGGAATGATAAAAAACACATTTGTGGAACTGGATTTGCAGACTCTTAAAGTCTTATACGTGACGTTTTTTTGCCCATTAGTTGAACTCGCGGTTCCAGTGTGGTTCCCTCAGCTTAAAGGAGAAGTAGAAACGCTCGAGAAAGTTCAACATAGGGATAAGAGACTCAATCCAACTCTGGCAAAAATGAAATACGTGAAGAGACTGGAGATTCTTGCCCTCACCCCATTATATGAACGCAGAATTCATAGAGATTTGATCCAGACTTATAAGTTATTAAACAAGGTTGAAAATGTGGACTTTATAAACGGTTTCAAGCCAAATGATTTTTAATTATCGAGAGGAAACGGTATCAGGTTTGAACGCGAAAAAACAAAGTGCAACTTAAGACACTCATTCTTCATTAACAGAATAACAAAAGTATGGAATAAACTACCACGAAAAGTAATTAATGCAAAAACAGTAAACAGTTTTAAAGCGCAATTAGACGATTGGCTCCTTTTAAATTAAATTAATACTGACACGGCTGTCTAAGTGTGTTATTAATACACACACTCGTCGTCTTCGTGCGGCTACAGCATCTACAACAGTACAATACAATAGAATACATTTTGGTATTTTAGCAATATATATATATATATATATATATATATATATATATATATATATATATATATATATATATATATATATATATATATATATATATATATATATATATATATATATATATATATATATATATATATATATAAAAGAAAACGCTATTGTAAAAATTTTTAATTATAATATTTAGTTTAATTTTAGTTTTAAAAATAAAAACAAAAAAAAAACTAAAGTATATTTAGAAATTAAGAGCGTACTAATAATCTTTTTTTTTATAATAAACTTTAAATCGAAATTAAGTTAAGATTAATCGAAAAACTTTTTTTAATTTTGAACTAACTCTTTTTTTAGATAAAAGGTGAGACAAAATAAAATTAACATAATATCAACTATGTGTCATCCTGTCTTTTTTTCCATGAATTAATGAGAACTTTAATAACAACTCTGAAAAATGAGTAAAAATGTAAGTCCAAAATATCTGTATACTAATTCAATTCCTTTGAGAAATAATTTTTAAGATTTTTTTTTTATTGATTTTTGTTAATTATTCTTTACTGATTAATAATAGTCAATCCAATATGTAAGTACTTTAAATTGAAGCGGCGAAAGTTTCATTTTAAACTCGGTTATGAAAAATTTCAAAATTGTAACAACAGAAATATTGGTTTAAAGAGCATATCAATTAAAAAAAAGTGGCTTCCTGGTGGCATGCACTAAAGTGGTCGTTAAAATAACGCTTAAAATCTATAATGAGATTGGAACAGTTGAAGACAAAAGTTGCTTTGGTCCTCTTTAAAAAATGTCAGAAGGCGACAAAAATGAAGCAATTATGATGGCTGAATGCAGCGCAAAAATAAATATTGTCTTAGACCAGAATGAGCATTGCTAAAATTGAGCATTGCTAAAATCGATCAACGATTAGCGAGCTGATGAAACAAAACAACTCCATTTGTACCTTACAACAAAGTAGCCACTACTAACCATCAAAGACCATCTCAAGTAAAGAAAATGGTGCAAAGAAAGAACTGCATGAGCTAAAGAGTAATATAAAAAAGTAATTTTTTTGAACGAATCGAACATTGAACTTATCAACTTGCAAGAAAAAGAATATAGTAAGGAGATAAAAAAATAAAACTACCTTTTTCTTCAGAAGACTTTAAGGAGGAGGAGGCTTAACTGGCATTTGAGACTGCATGATGCGTGTGCGTGTATATAAAACTATACATTATGTTTTTATTTTTGGGTGCTAAGATTTTCATGCACAGCAAAATGAAATTTCTGACTATATTTTGGAAACTCGGTTAATCGTGCATTTAGTTATAATATGCTATAAATTTTAAATTGGTATCGTCCGAGTTTGTTAAACTTATTTATGTCTTGTAAATGTAACAGAACACCAAGAAACTTTAATCTAATATCAACAATTGTTATAGAATTTACTTGTTGAGTTTAATTTTTTTTAAATTAAAGATAGCACAATGTTTTACAAGTGCAATTTTTAACAAGATGCAACAACTAATTTTGAAAAAATTAGTTGTCGCATCCAAGAATTTGTTTATAAAATAGAGGAAAAATTAATGTTTTATACTATCAAGAGAAAATAACTTGACATAGGTTGTTAAATGTTCTTAAAACACTGCGCAAAAATTAATTAATAAAATCATTGAAATCCGAATTATTGCGCATAAAATAAAGTCTTATTGATCCAGAAAGTTAAATAAGCATTATAAGCATTATTTTAAAAATACTTTCTATTCTTAATTTAAAAGTTAACACAAAATTAGACTACTGTTCAAAGAAAGGGTAACTATTACGGAACTACATCCCTCAACAGTCAGAAAATCTTTGATTAAGGCTAAACCATGGCCATGGGCTAAACCTTGGCCATGGGCTAGACCTTGGCCATGGGCTAGACCTTGGCCATGGGCTAGACCTTGGCCATGGGCTAGACCTTGAACAAAAGTAGTTGTATAAAAACTATTTTTTAATTAAAAATAAAAAAAATTATTATAAAAAAAGAAACACGAAACATGACGAAAACATTATAGTAATAAAGAATTGCGAACTATCAATTCCAAGTTTATAACATATATATACATATTCAAAAAAGATTGACGGCAATTTCTTTTTTATTTCTAATCAAACTAAGTCAAAAACCTTAACAGTTTGCGATATGAAAATCTCACAAATGTGAAATTTTATCAAAGTTTATTAAAATTGCTAACCATGGTGGTTAAATGTTATTTTGCTAATTCAGAGTTTTGACAACTTTGGCAAAGATCACGAAGTAATAAACTTGATTTATTAATAAGGTTTGTAAGAAAGCAAAGAAGAAGAGATAGCATTGCATTTTGTTGCCAGTTTAGAGACTACCTCTGCCAACCCTGCAATGTGGCTTCGCCTAAACGCAATACTGAAATTATTAGCATAAAAGCAGAATGTTATTGTTATCGGAAGCAATATACATAAAATTAGATTGTGGAACACTTGTAATTAAATATTTAGTTTCATATTATCATTATACAGTAAACGGATTCCCACAAAAGATTAGTAGTTATTGGGTATGACACACTCTACATGTTATCAATTTTACAACGAAACATATCGTTAATTAAATCCATTATTAAGTAAACAACACGTACATTTAATTATCGAACAAATTTTTTGTCAAAACAATAGGCTTTAAATATTCTAAATAAAACTATTGTAAGCAGAGCTGTCCAAAAGAGGTTTCTTATGGAAGGAGAGGGGGTAAGAGGTGTCGTACATTTTTTTTTTCAACTAGAGACACAAAAAAAAAGGTCCTTGATATTTGACATTTGCCAACACCCCGGCACCCCTCGTTTTGGACGGCTCAGATTATAAGAATATCAATATCCAATTAAAATAAAATAATATTCAAATAAAATAATAATAACAAAAAAAGTAATAACAAATTAAAATAACACTCTCATACTTCTGCACTTTAAGTTGTTTTTTAAACTTAAATTCACATCACACATAAAAATTGTATATAACTTACTGAAATTTTTGCTTTGCATTGCGGAAATTTGGGATCGTCTTGCAACTTGCAATTATCTGTGCTTTTCCGATAGTCTAAAAAAAATTTCTTTCTTTTTTTTTTTTTTTTGGTTCGCATTTGTTAATCGTTGTACAGCCCATAATAAAAATAATAATATAAACTTACAATGGCATAAAAAATAACAAACATAAACAAGGTATCTGAAAGAAGATCGCAAGGATCTTGTCGTCAGAACCTTAAAAAAGCATTTAACAAATATAAGATTAAAAAAAAAAGTTTATAAACTTTTACAAAATTGCAAGGCAAACAATCTGTTTCTGAAGAAAGATCAAGAGGATCTTCTCATCAGATTTTAATTCAAGAGTAAACCAACATATAAATTAAAAAGTGAAAAAGTATAAGAACAATAAATAAAATAAGTAGGAACAAACTTCTATTAACATAAAACTATTATTAACAAAAAAAATAAAAAAATCGACCAAAATATATTTTTTAACTTTTACTAATAATAATAACTCAATATATAATCTAATGAAAGAATGAGGTTTCTCAGTTTTTTTTTAAAAAAGGCAAAAAGTAATAGGTACTTCAAAATTAAAATTCGCCAAAACAATTTTATTCTAAAAGTGTGGCGCTCGATAGGTAATACAAAATTGATTAAAGTTTGTTTGACAGAAAGGCTCATTTAAAAAGTTATTATTTCTCAAAATATATTTTCTGACTGGTTTAAAAGAGAAAAGATCTTTGATTTTGTATATAGATTGTAAAAGTTCTGAATTTTTCATGCCCATGTAAATACCACAGTTGTTTAAACCAAGACTTTTAGGGTCTGGAAATGATCTTGAACTAGTAAAAACTTTTGTATTAAAGTGGCAAAAAAACCTTACAAAAATAAAGCGTCCCTATAAAAAATTCAGGGCTCCTAAATCTGCGGAATACGTGATTATAGCCTCATAACCCGAGAACGGTTAAAACTTTAACTCCTTAGTTTTTAAATATTCAAAACTTTTACGCATAAGCTTGTAAAAAAGAAGTAACAATTATGCCGATCATGCTTTTCAAATAGTCTACTCTTTCTGAGTCTCCCAAGGAAAAATGCGAAAAATTTAAAATGTCTGAATTTCAGACTATTTAAATGGTTGACCAGGGATTGAATATTTTTGAGATGGTTTGATTAAAAAAATGAGTTTTTTTATCCAAAATTATCATGGGCTGGAACTAGAGAGGGTTTTAATCATGGGCAGAAATCTATTATTGATGTTTTCAAACTTTGCAGGGTGGATATATCTAAAACCGCAGGGACCAAATGTCGCCGTGAAAAAAAGTGTAAGCTACTTAAAGTTTCTTTTGCATTACTGCTGTACAAGATCCTCTCAAAGTTATTGAAAAATATAAGTGAATTTAATTATCAAATATAGATTATTTTGAATTTACTTTACAAGTTTTATAAAAGGTAAGCTTATGTAATTTAAATAAATAATTTATCTTTAATAAAAACTTGTTATTTCTTTTAAATTAAAAATGCTAACTTAAAAAATATTAAATATTTTTGTTAGCATATTACTTTTATGTAACTTATTTTCCTATCTAAGTTTTTTTACAATTAAGGCAATATAATATTTTTTAATTAGTTATTTTTATATATAAATATAAATTACATTTTGAGGAACTATTAAATTATGTTAAGTAATTTTAAAAAGTATTTAAGTTTTAAATTTATAAGTAAACAACTTTTCAAATGATTTACTTTTTGATGTAATCTATTTTTACATAACTTACTATTAAAAGTAAAAAAACTTACATTACAAAGTGAAAGTCATTTCCAGAAAACAAGTTACGTATACGAAAATGTAAATTTAATTTGAGCATTTAAAATTATTTACGTAATTTACTTATTTATAAAATAAGTAAATACTTGAGCCTTATGGAACTTTCTAGAATTTTCTGGACTCTTTTGGATGTTTAAGATTTTCAGAATTTTTTCAGAAGTTTCTGAAACTCTAAAATTTTTTAGAAGTTTATGGAGTTTATGGAAGCTAGCAAAATTAAAGCTATATAAGCTGCTTTATTGAGCAACGCTAATAAATAAATATGAATCTTTACTTGCAGATCGCAGTAAAATAGTATAGAGAAAAAATTGTACTTTCATTTATTATTATTGCCTTTTAGAAATATATTTGAGTAGTATCTTAATTCTAAAAATCATAACGTTTTCTAAGAAAAGTGCTTACTCTACTGAAGGAAACAAGACATTCTGGATGAAAAAAACGTACTATTTTATGAGTCACTTTTAAAAAATATGAACTGTTCTACTAGAAAAACAGTCACTGGAAAAAAACAGTACAACAGCACTTAAAATCGTTTTTGGTCGCTATCTGTTCCTTAAAGAATCTACTGAAGGGAGTTGCTATCTGTTCCTTAAAGAATCCACTAAAGGGAGTCGAGAAAGCAAATTAAACAAATTGAGAAAGAAGTAACATGTTTACGGCATAAGGAAATCAATTTGTTGCATTTATCAATTAAAGTCATACAGGTATACCCAAATCAAGTGCTGATGAGATCAATAGAATAATGTTTTTGACATCTCAAAAAAAGATAGTATATGGCTCTGCAGTTTGGAAAAAAAATTCTAATATCATTAGATGCATCTTTATATTGAATGATTGTAGCGGACACTACAAATATAAACAGTAGAAGAAAGAATGGAATTGTCAGTCAGTTAAAAGATGTTCTACTGAAATAAAAATAAAAGAATCGAATGTTGGTTGTCAACATTCAATCCTTTTAATAAATTTCAAAAAATTTTATATTACACAAGATGGAATAAAAAGCTATATAGCAGCTTGCACAGTAAAAAAAAAAAAAAGTTAAGGTCTTTAAAAAGTGGTAATGTTTTTGGACCAGAAACCATCAAAACTAGAATTTCCCAGAATAAACCAGCTTGCGGGACAAGTAATCAAGTGTCTTCAAGACTTTTTTGACATCTTCAAAAAAAGCAAAAACCCCAGCTTAAATATTTTGTCTTAAAAAACATAAGAATCCACTTTAATCACTGATACTTTTTTTGTTTTACCTAGACATACTTCCTAAACTATAGGCTCATGTATATTTCTTATTCCTAATACATAATTTAAATAAACTATTTTTTCTTGACTACTTATACCATAATAGCTACTATTGCCTTTTACTCCATAATGAGTTCTACATCTTTTAGCTACTAATACCAGTGTTGATTTATTTACTTCTTTTGAAGTTGCAGGAGTATTTAAATGAAAATCAGCATCAACCAAGTCATCTTCTGAACAGTCTGTTTTTACTTTTCTTTTTGACTTGATAGATCTTTATCCAAAGCTCTAATATTTATAATAAAATAAATAAACAAATAAATATTTAACTAAGCTTTATATGAAAAAATAAAAATAAAATATAAAAGAATAAGTTTAAAAAATCATATGTTGACATCCATATGCCCCCTTTTTTGATAGAAAAGAAAAGGAGAGCGAGAGACAATGCGAGATGAGCAATTTTGATTACGCTGGAGTTTTTAAAACTTGTTTTTGTAAGAATATAAAAAAAGACTGTTACAATAATCAAGTTAAGAGTTAACAATACCACAGGCAATTATGTTAGCTGCTTCTTTAGTGAGACATTAACACTTTTGGCGAAGACATTTGAGCTTGAAAAGGATCTCACTTTTGCTACAGCATGGGGCTCTCAGTGGCAGGTGATAATGGTTGGAGGTTGGCTGCAAGATCAGGTCCCACTGTGTTTACAATGCATTTTTGCACATTGTCTAAAAGAGAATGGGCATCATTGGATGAACTGCCTGAGATTTAGCAACAGTATTCCATGCTGTAGCAAAAGTGAGATCCTTTTCAAGCTCAAATGTCCTCTCCAAGCAATTAAAGAGTGTTGGCTTCTTATCAAGACAAGAATAAATGGTAGTATCGTCGGCGAATAATGCCACCTTAGTTGTAAAAAATTTCTCACATCTATAGTGATCTTTTTACAATGGTTTCTAGCAATAGTAAACAGTGGTCTCTTTTGTGGAGAATTGTTTTGCTGATAGATATTAAAGTAAGGAATTAAAATTAGTTTTATAATTGAAAGTAATAGTTATGAATAGAAATTGCAGCAGTACAAGGATATATATATATATATATATATATATATATATATATATATATATATATATATATATATATATATATATTTATATATATATATATATATATATATATATATATATATATATATATATATATATATATATATATATATATATATATATATATATATATATATATATATATATATATACTTATATATATAAATAAATATATATATGAATATATATATATATAATATATATATATATATATATATATATATATATATATATATATATATATATATATATATATATATATATATATATATACATATATATATATATAAAATATTTATATATATATATATATATATATATATATATATATATATATATATATATATATATATATATATATATATATATATATATATATATATATTATATATATTTATATGTATACACTTTTCATGCCAGCCTGAATTCATAAAGTTACATAAAAAGCGCATTTGTTACATAAGAAGACCAAAGATTTCTACCCAAGAACATCACCAAGAATATCACGGAAAGATTCCCAGTCAGCTTTAAGGTACTTGTAAGAGGTATGATGATAAGGGGATTCTGATGATGAAGAAGAATGAGATAATAATTTTAAAGATATCAAACCGGGATCGGAAGCACCTAAGCGTGAATGTGGAAAAAATAAGCACTGACTAAGATCAGAAATAAGACAAGTCCAGTAGAGAAGGTAAATGATTTGGATTGTCTGGAAAGCAAGTTGGAATGTTGACTATTTGATTTAAAGATTGAGAAGTAAAAGTTCAGAGCCTTAAATCCTGCAAAGTCACTGACACTAGAGACAAGCTATTCAATAAGATAAACATTAAAGTCTCCAACAACAATGATATTGGCTGATGGATAAAGAGCTTGGCTGATGGATAAAGGCTTCGAATCAAGTTAAAA